TAAACACGTCGCTCATGTCGAATTTGATTGGTCACTGAACGCGTCACGGTCTCTAAACGCGAATTTGATTGGTCACTGAACGCGTCCCCTTTTTGGAACATGATTAAAGCAGCAAATTTACAATTTATCCATCTCAAATTATACATATTCAAGTTTTTTTTCATGTTTGTTAACATTTAAACACTTTTGGAATAACATTTCTCCTTTGCCTAATTCATGGCTAACATTTTATGTATCTTAAATATAGACGATTGATGTATATTATTATGTTTATATTAATTAATTAACTTTCCACTTTTTGCATGACTTAAAGATATACATTAAAATATGTATTATTATTATTATTAACAAAAAAAATGTTCTTTTCTTCATGCAATATATGTCTGATATCTCATCTCCAGCATGCTCATCTTTAATGCTGTTGTCTCCGTGTTAACCAAACAAAATACTCTTTGTAAAATGCTTGTTAAAATTGTTGGTCATGTTGAAAATTGCAAAACAACTGTGGGACAGTAAAAATTTGTGAGAAGTGTAAATAATTTTCACACACACACACACACACAAATTAAGTTTATTTCATTCTTTGTTAGATCATTCATGGATAAGGGACCAAAAAAAACGGCCTGTAACCTTTTTAAAGTTTTAAACTTATTTTAAAAGTTGCAAAAATAAATAATGACGGCATGACGAAAAATTGCAAGATGGTTAGCAACCATATAACAAAAACAATAAAGATGAAATTTGTTAGTTAGTGCAAGTTGAAGAAACAGCCTGCTATGTATTTATAGCACATTTAAATTGTGTCCACAGTGATAAACAGTCAAATGTCTTGTAGATTTCAGGTTGACCTGACCTGCGGGAGCAGCATGAAGCCTCGGGCAGACGTGGCCTTTCATTTTAATCCTCGCTTCAAGCGGTCTCCTTACATCATCTGTAACACACTGCAGAAGGAGCGCTGGGGCAAAGAAGAGATCCACTACCTGATGCCCTTCCAACACGGAGCTGCCTTTGAGATCATCATACTCGTGCAGAAAGATTTGTTCAAGGTTATAAACAACTTGAGTTCCATCAGTTTGGCTCTTGTTTATTGGCATCTATCTCTGTTGCCATATGATGCCAACTTTAATCTCATTCTCTTGCTTAAAATGGTACAAGATAAGTGACTTTATGTTAGCTGTTTTTAGAAAGTTAAAGGTGAAGCGTGTCATTTTTGGAGGTTGAAATAATTTCTCCTTAATATGCAGCAAGCAAGCGGCCCCCAAAAGTGTAAACATGGTGGCTCTGTAGATATAAACAGTTGATTTGTTTGAGATGCCACATGCCTTGCCTTGAATGTAGAAGAGAGTAGGCTGCTGCAGTCGGGGGAGGAATTAAAAAAAAAAAACTTCATAGTGGTATAGAGGTCCATGCGAGCAAAAGCAGATATTGCATTTATGTTCTTTTTTTTTGTGCAGATGAAATAAATGCATTTGAAATACTGCTGCTTTTGTATCTAACCAATATTTCATCCCAAGGATGCGAAGGAGTTTAACTCTGTAGTAAGCTTGATCTTGAATCGTGTCTTGACCAATTATTTCCAAAATATGATCCAAAATGCAAAATTCCTAGAAGCCCCTAAAGGGACATATATGTGACCCTAGACCACAAAACCAGTCATAAGGGTATTTTTTGCTGAATAAATAAGCTTTCCATTGGTGTATGGTTTGTTAGGATAGGACAATATTTGGCCACGATACAACTATTTGAAAATCTGGAATCTGAGGGTGCAAAAAAATCTAAATATTGAGAAAACCGCCTTTAAAGTCGTCCAAATGAAGTTCTTAGCAATGCATATTACTAATCAAAAATTAAGTTTTGATATATTTACGTTAGGAAATTGACAAAATATCTTCATGGAACATGATCTTTACTTAATATCCTAATGATTTTTGGCATAAAAGAAAAATCGATAATTTTGACCCATACAATGTATTGTTGGCTATTGCTACAAATATACCCCAGCGACTTAAGACTGCTTTTGTGCTCCAGGGTCACATATGACATATTGGTATACGCTCACAAAACTTTGCGTTCTTGCAAACGAAAACAAAACTGGTGTTGGAAATAATACGAGCTTGGAGAAAAACTAGATTTCAGTGTTTTTGTGAGTTCTCAGGGGAACACAATACTTTTTTGTGAGAGAGCGTAAAAGGTTTGTGAGCCAGTGCAGTGTTTCTGGAGGGAATGCATAAGTTTTGTGAGTGTTTGGAGTATAATTTTTTCCTCTTATCTTATGTTTTGTCCATCAACTTGTCCCTTTAGGTGCTAAAGATAAATAGATTTAGTTATAAGAACAAAATGTCACAGTTCTACGCCAGTGAGATCTGTGATGTCAGCAAGTCATTTCCCAGTGTTTTTTTTCAATTCACATGCTTTTAGTTGATGCCACATTAAGCATGAGTTGGTCTGCACAAGAGTAAGTGTTCAGAAAAAAGTCACTGTGTGCTGATTGGAGCAGAAACCACACACTCTTCAGCTGATCCTCCAAATTCCAGTCATTTCATAAGTTACTTCTTGTTGTTATACCGCGTGAGATAAACATTGTTTTACTCCCTCCAGGTGGCGCTAAATGGTTCTCACCTGCTGGAGTACAGGCACAGGATAGAGCTCAAGAAGGTGGACACACTGGCCATATCAGGGAAGGTTCAGATTCAAGCCATTGGGTTTATTCCCAGTTCAGTGAGCAAGGTAACGGTTTATCTATTAAAACTATAACCCCCCCCTCCCCCCGGTTTCACAGACAAGGCTTAAGCCTAGTCCCAGACTAAAATGTAATTCTGAGCTGTTTTAACTGAAAGAAACTTGCACTGACTGATCATAAAATATATCAGTGCCTCTGTTTTGTCTCAAGATGCACACCAGCAATGTTTTTTCTAAGGCATGTTTATAAAAATTACTTAAATGTCCTAACTGAACAATGGCCTAATCCTGGTTTAGTCTAAGCCCTGTCTGTGAAACCAGGCCTAAATGTTTAAAACATTTTAAGAACGATTTTGGATTTGCATTTAAATGTAAAAAGTAGCCCGAAAAATGAAACTTTAATGGGACTGACAGATATATATATAGGAAAGGTATATGTAGTGAATAGTAGCAGATAATTTGTTTTACAGGTCAGAGGTATATAGTACATAATCAGGGCTGTGTTTCCTAAGAGCATCGTAAGACCCATTGAAACCAATGGAGCTACAATCAACTTATGATGCTTTTGGGAAACGCAGGCCAGTATGTTTACTGTTTGTTATGATGTGGCAGGGATTGCATTTTGTGAGATAAACGTGTTCATTTAATATTTTTTAGAGTTCCATAACACCTTCAAATGGAGTTGCAAGCAAAAGATCACAGCCTTATGTAAGTGACTATTCTGATATTGCTTTTTTTCTATATTCAGTATATGCACACTATTGTTCAAAGGTTTGAGGACAGTAAGATTTTTGTAATGTTTTTAAAAGAAGTTACTTATGCTCACCAAGGCTGCATTTATTTGATCAAAATGCAGTTAAGGGCACAATATGTAAGATTTCACCGCTAGAGGGCGCATATTCAAAACAAACAAAGAAACAAAGGCGTAGTTTGATGACGCCGTGACTGAGTGTGGAATCATGGGAGTTGTCGTCTTCATCCCCATAGCCGACGCAATCCTACGGGACTCGGGCAGAAATCATGTTTATGGATGAGCTAATGTATTAAAGATTTATTAACATCGTAGTATGAAGCAGAGTGAGGCGGAAAGCAGTCGAGGCAAAACGAGGCCGCTGAAGCAATTGCTAATGAGAGACGAGCGTGACACACGGCTCGAAAGCAGTGTAGCTTTTATTATGCCACACTTTAGCGCTTCCGCTCCTTCCGGTCGTGCGTATGTGGGGTAAAGCAGCGCTGTTTTATCATACTAGATACGTTTGAAAGTTATGTTATAATGCTACTCTGTGCGGTCATCACCTGTCTATTAAAACGCACAACATATTAAAGGTGGGGTAAATGATTTCTGGTAGCCAATGTTGATATTTGAAATCACCAAAACAAACACGCCCCTACCCCAAAAGGGTCTTTCCCCTATTTTGATAGCTCCGCCCCACACATACGTATGCAACCCAGGCAACAATTAGTTCTGTGAAACAAAGCAAAACCAATGTTACACCACGTCTACATCGGACGTGAGCGGCGCGGCGCAACAAATCCCCGACAGAAAACTGCTGCCGGGTTCTATTTATGACTTGCTGACACAAATTTCAAATGGTTTTCAACGGTCGTTTGATCGCGTCCAGTGTAGGCAGACTTTAGCTGTTGTAGACACGGTGTTACTCATCTATCGAGAAGAAACAAAGCAACCTCGGCGTCCGATTGCAGGCCTCCGCTCCTTGAGTTCTCTCCAGTGCTGGAAAGCTGATCCGATATTTACGCGGGTCCTACTTCTTGCCTTATCGTTAGCCTTCTTTTGTTCCGCAGACATTTTCCTCTTTAGTTTTTTTATCTGCCATCTCTATCTTTCTGTCGCTCGGCTCGGATAATGCACTGAACGCTCTCTCCTCCACATCATGAGTAGACACGCCCCTTATTGCTGATTGGCTACAAGTTTGTTTTGCTAGTCAGCCCGAATCAGTTTTCGAAAGTGTTTTTGAAAAATTACACAAGTCTGCAAAATATATAACACCGTTCTAGTGGTTTTTGGGTATTTTAATAAAACAATCTTACAACTTGTGCCTTTAAAACAGTAATATTGTGAAATATCATTACAATTTAAAATTAATGTTTTGTACTTTAAAATGATTTAAAATGATGGCAAAGCTGAATTTCAGCATCATTACGCCAGTCTTCAGTGTCACATGATCCTTCAGAAATAATTCTAATATGCTGATTCAGTATTCAAGATACATTTCTTACTTTTATCAATGTTGAAAACAGCCGTGCTGCTTAATATTTTTGTGGAAACGTTAATATTATTTTTTCAAGATTCTTTGATTAATAGCACGTTCAAAAGAACAAAAGTATTCTTTACTGACCTCTTTTGAACAGTAGTGTATTTCTCTCTATATATGGTATATGCACTCTCTCTAAATGTATGTATGAAAAATACAGTACTGTTCAAAAGTTTACCATTCAGAATTATATATATATATATATTGTTAGTGAACTGATGTGTATCTATATTTTGCTATATTTTATATCTATATATAAAATAGATCGTTTAGCTGAAGCTGTTTAATTATGACATTCCCTCCTCTTTCATCCAATAGTCAGTCATGTCGGAGTCAGGTGACACGGTGAGTACATGTTAGTGAAAGTGACATGTGGCCAAGTATGGTGACCCATACTCAGAATTAGTGCTCTGCATTTATCCCATCCAAAGTGCACACCCGCCGTGAACACACACCCGGAGCAGTGGGCAGCCATTTTTTTTTTTTTTGCTGGGAGCAGTTGGGGGTCCGGTGCCTTGCTCAAGGGCACCTCAGTCGTGGTATTGAAGGTGGAGAGAGCGCTGTACATTCACTCCCCCCACCCACAATCCCTGCCGGTATGAGGCTCGAACCCGCAACCTTTGGTTTATGAGCCCAACTCTCTAACCATAGGGCAAACCTGGGTAAATTGTTTTCACATGCGACACCAGTTTATATCCAAATAATACTGGATAATTCAATTTCAGAATAATTGAAATCAAATGGAAGTGGGTGCCTCACAGTCTGGACAGAAACCAGGACATTGGCATTATTTGGTTACTTTGACCCTTAAATCAGGCCTTTACAGCAAGCACCTTACTGATTAGAGACCTGTAGAGTACAAGAAGATATAGTGTATTGTGTCTTGTTGTTAATGGCGTTTGCCAAGTCAAGCATCACTAGAACTGTTGTTTATGAATTAGGAGTCATACTTCAAACAAGCAATAGTGCACCTAAAATAAAAATTCTGGGTCCCACCTTATATTAGGTGGCCTTAACTACTATGTACTTACATTTAAATGAATAAATCGATACAATGCACTTATTGTGTACATGTTTTTACATTGTAATTATATGTAAAAAAATTATGCCATGTAATTACATCTGTAATTGTTTTTCTGTAATTACATTTATAAATACACTGTTGACCCATCTCTTAAACCTACCCATACCACCGAACCTGTCCCTAATCTTACCAGTAACCCTCCTCAACATCAGCAAAAGTGTTTTGCAATATACGAACACAACAATTGCATTGTACTTATTTTTGGATGTTAGTACATAGTAGTTAAGGCCACCTAATATAAAGTGGGACCAACATTCTGTCATCATTTACTCACCCTGATTTATTTCCCGGTTAATTTCTTCTGTGGAACATAAAAGAAGATATATGTCTCAGTGTTTATTTTGTCCATACCTTGGAAGTCATTGGTAATCAAAACTGTTGGTTGCCAACATTCTTCTTTTGTGTTATGCAGAAGAAAGTCTTCAAAATGTACAACTTGTTACTAGGTAGAAGTGTGAATTGAGTGTAAATCTGAGTTTTGTCCTAACCAAGCATGACGAGAAAAAGGACATTTTGTCAATGGCGTGGTTACAGCGGTTCTCTGGGTTTCTTCACTTATCATAAAATCATTATCTGAAAACTCTAACCAGCTAACAATGCCCTGGGAACCACCTATAACACCCTAACAGCTGGCTTAGCAACACCTTGGCAATCATACAGTATTGCAATGCATTCGGAACACCTTAAAGCTGGAATACACCTCACAACTTTTGCACAGATTTTTGCCCCAATTTGCCGTCTGGATGAGTCGATGCAAATTTAGGCAGTTGGAGCTTGACAGATTTCACAGAAAATTACATTTTATATGATTTTTTAATTTTTTTTTAGCTTCAGCCTATGATTCCATCTAGTTGGAGGATTTCAAGTATGCTTGATATTTTGAGTCAGTTTTAAAACAAACATTGTTTTCATTTTTTTCATGCATCTCCTTGTAACGAGGTGCACATTTTTGTGTTTTTTTTCCTCTTTGGGAACGATTTGAAAAGTCTGTTAGGAACACCTTAAAGCTGGAATACACCTCACAACTTTTGCACAGATTTTTGCCCCAATTTGCCGTCTGGATGAGTCGATGCAAATTTAGGCAGTTGGAGCTTGACAGATTTCACAGAAAATTACATTTTATATGATTTAAAAAAAATTTTTTTAGCTTCAGCCTATGATTCCATCTAGTTGGAGGATTTCAAGTATGCTTGATATTTTGAGTCAGTTTTAAAACAAACATTGTTTTCATTTTTTGTGTGATCCTCAGTCATTTAGTGTGTAATGCCCAGATTTTCTTTGTAACCATTTACAAAGTCAGCAAGTGTCTGTCCCGATTTTAAAAGATGTGTAGTGTATACCAGCCTTAAATGACTGCATAGCAATACCATAGCTGAGAATTATTATCGTGGTTGTTGTCTTTGTTGTGCTGAATTTGAAACCATTGTAAGATGCGTTTCTGTTTCGCTCCAGAGTCTTCCATTTAAGAGCAAACTTGCGAAAGGATTGAGTCCAGGAGATTCCATTATGGTGAAGGGGCAGATCTCTGGTTCCCCAGAGAGGTATGCGAAGAAAACAACCATCAGGAACACCACGGGAATATTCTAGATATATAAAATACATGCTTTTTGTCATTTTTAACCCATTTAACCCTTTTAATAATGTATTGATGTCTTTCATGTCTTCCTTTATCCCCACAGTTTCGCTGTAAACCTGCGCATCAGTAACTCGGAGGACATTGCTTTTCACTTAAACCTTCGTTTCAAACCGGCTTCCTTCGTTAGAAACTCTTTCCTGTCTGGTTGTTGGGGGCTTCAGGAGACCTCCCTCCCCAGCTTTCCCTTTTCACCCGGGCAAAACTTTGAGGTACAAGACCTTGTTTGTCACTAAATGAGAGCATCTGTTGAAATTTAAAATCAACATGAAATATTTTCTTAATGCACATTCCTGGTTCATTACATTAGCATTATTCCAAAGAGAATCTATTCGTCATAATATAACAACTTTTCCTGTTAGCTGTTCACTCAACAATAAAAACCCGGTATGTTGCATGCCTGTATGAATTTTGCTTCTGTTGAACACAAAAGGAGAAGAATGCGGGTAACCAAACAGTTTCTGGTCTCCATTGGCTTCCATAGTATTTTTTTTTTCGATAATATGGAAGGCAATGAGGACTAGCAAATATGTAGCTTACAACATTTTTCAAAATATCATCTTCTGTGTTTAACTCATACAGGTTTGGGGTGGGTAAATGGTGACAAAATATATATATATAATTCCTTTTTAGGCATTATTTGTAATGTAAAATGCTAATTAGTTAATAGTAGTGCATGTTACGGCAATGTTATATTTACTTTGTATCATGCTGTAGTGGTTATTTTATTGGTTTTAATGTTTACGGAATGTCCGATTTTTACTGATTCAAATTAGTTAATTAAAACTAATTTTGATTAGAATTAATAATTCTAATTAGAAGGATATATCAATTCAGTGCATTATGTGAAAAGTAATACCTTGTGTGGAGACCAGAATCACCATTTTAAATGGCAGTATTCAAATATTTTGTTTAAAACGGAGCCTTTGTCCTAACTTGGAAATATGTCAAATAAGTTGGCTTACAAATGCAGATTCGTGTTGACTTTAGAGAACGATGGCTTGGTTTTAGTGTGTTTCTCTGAAAATGCAGGATGGAGGCCATGATTGGGTTAAATATTTCATCAGTTCCTTGCTTGCTGTGACCTCTGACCTCATGTTTTCCCTGGCAGATGATCATCCTGTGCGAGGCTCAGGAGTATAAAGTGGCAGTAAACGGGTTCCATCAGCTGAATTACAAGCACCGTGTGCAGGATCTAAGTTGCGTGGATGTGATAGAGATTGTGGGAGATCTAGAGCTTAAGGATGTGAAGATTTGGTGAGCAGCTCCAGCTTGACGACTTGACATTCCCGTGTTTCCTCCAACCAAGTATATTTAATCAACCTGAGAATCCTGCAGCTGCAAGCGAATCGGAACTATTTTAACTTATATCATTTGAATTTGGACTAAAATGCTAGACCTGGGGCCTCATTTATAAAATGTGCGTATGTACAGATTTGATCTTAGAGTGTGCATACACTAAAATCCACGGCAACGTTCATATTTATAAAAACGGTCTTTGACGTGGAAAAGTACTTACCGCTACGTCAGTGTCTTAGCAGGCGTACGCACTCTTCCTTGTGGCAAAGTCGGAGTACTGCAGCTATTTGAACATCTAAGCTGCAATAATAATAAAAGTACGTGCAAGCACCGAATTCATCATAAACAACGAAGATGCAGAGTAAGAGATTAATTGTGCAGTGTAGTCATTTTTTTTGATTAACGGGAGTTTTTGCGAGATTAAATTGACCTTTTTAGTAGCCTAATGTTGAGAGTTCTTTACACAGTTTATTCCATGTTGTTGTTGTTTTGTATTATTTTATTTTACAAGAGAACTTGTGAAGTCTTGATTTACTACTAATGCGTAAAATAGAAAAAAAAGCATAAACGTGTAGCCTATAAGAATAGGCCTATGTCATGCAATAACGGTTTTAATATAGCCTATTCTATTCAATAACATCTGCTGCTTTGCTTCTGTGAAAATTAATAGAGATATCAGCCTTAAACTTTGTTTTTGTCATTTACATCAGCTATATTTGTATAAAATACACTATATATTTTTGTGTCAGTACATTAATGGCACATTTGAGCAGCATTAGTAAACTAATTTTATTATGATATGAAACGTCCGATTTTTCTTTCAATAATGTTTTTTAAAGTTTTGCAAGAATTTCGTGATACTAAACTTTTGATTAGTTGTCATAGCAAGTGATTTTAAAAGTAGGATGGCTCCCTTTTTACTATAAGATAACTGAAAATTACTTGAAGTCGTAGTTTATTCTTACTTTTGGAAACCTAATGGTTTTATAATTATAATTATTATTTCTGTTGCTTCTAGAAGTAGTAATTTTGTTAAGTCAATAGAAAAAATATAACTACACACACATCGTTTGTCCACTGAATAATTACTCATTATTAGGCTAAATAAAAAGCGTCCCCGCACGAACCTCTACCTCCGCCAGCAGGACCTCAATTTCAGACTCAATAAAGTTTATTTTTTTCTTTGTGCTCGTTATTCTCAAGCATAGAAATTCGAATATTGGCGTGTGCTCTTTTATATGGTAATGATATTAATTAGGTGGCATTTACAAGGCGGAGATCTGACACCAGTCAGCTACGCACAATTTCAAGATCATTTGCGATTTATAAATGTCACATCTGGAAGAGAGGCGTACGCACGTGTTTTTGTGCGCACGTTCGTTTTCTCTGAATCGCACTTAAGCACTTTTGAGAAATTATCTTAGAACAAATTTAGGACGGTTTATACGCAACATTTTATAAATGAGGCCCCTGGTGTGGCCATTTACATCTGACTGCACATGATACTCCTCAACTTCTTCGTCTAACAGTTAGCACATTTGAACTTTTATTCTGTTTTGTTTGCTTGTTTGTTTTAAGTTTTAAAGGGGTCCTATTATGCTCTTTTACAAAGTCTTGATTATGTTTTGGGGGTGTACTAGAACATGCTCTCATGCTTGGTGGTTCGGAAAACGCATTATTTTTCACATAATTTACATTATTAAAATACCTTTCTCCCCATCCTGGCACAAATGGCTCGATTAGTTCCGGCTTTGATGAAGGTCCGCCTTCCGAAAAACAAAATGTGTTGTGATTGGTTAGCTGTCCCAGTGTGTTGTGATTGGCGAACAGCTTAGATGGTGTTTCATTACTGCAACGCCCCTTGCTCCATCTTTCAACAAAAGCTTTTTGGGCGAATCCGACAGGCACTGTACTCCCTCATGTTGTGGAAGCTGTCCTCAGTAAAATGCGCAGCACACAATAGCAAATTGGGGTTATAATGCTCAGGAACAGAGTTAAAAAATAAATTGCAACCACTGTTTCCTGACATCATCCGCTTTCGGAAGCCCAAA